TTGCCAGCCCCATTTATTGAAGAGACTGTCTTTACCCCATTGTATATCCTTGCCTCCTGTGTCGTAAATTAATTGACCATATAAGCGAGGATTTATTTCTGGGTGCTCTAGTCTATTAAAATTATGTGTGTGTGTGTGTGTGTGTGTGTGTGTGTGTGTGTGTCTAATCTTTCTTATGCCAGTACCATACTGTTTTGATTATTGTAGCCTTGTAGTATAGTTTGATATCAGGGCACGTGGTCCCTCCCACTTTGTTCTTTCTCAGGATTCTTTGGCTATTCGGAGTCTTTTATGGTTCTGTATAAATCTTAGCATTCGTTGTTCGAATTCTGAGTAGAATGCCAGCAGTATCTCAGTAGGGATTGCATTGAATCTGTATATTGCTTTGGGTAGTAAGGACATTTTGACAGTATTTGTCTTTCCAGTCCATGAGCGTTGTGCAGCCTTAATGGACTCATTTTTCCTCTAGTTTTAATTTGCTGCTCACGAGGTAACAGTCTCAGGTGAAGTTTGTAAAGAAGAAACAAGAACAGCCGCCCAGCCGGACTGGGGCAAGAGGGCGGGAACGTAAGCTGTGTCTGGTCCGTGCGCCGCATCTACTGTCGGCAGAAGGACGTTCTTACATGAACCCTGTCTTCCGCACTGAAGGGGTGATACGGCCTCGCACCAGAGGGCGTTCTCGGGGCCAGCCCAAGGGCCGGGGCCCTGCTCAAGCTGGGGCAGCGCAGGCTGTGCAGAAGGTCTCCATTTTCAGAAACAGGACACCAGGATTTTTGTTGGGGCACTGCCCGTGGCTGATACTGAAACCTCAGCTCGATTATGCCAGGGAAATGCTTTTGTCTTCTTTCTCGCTCAGGCTAATTTTTAAATGTGGCTAAATAGGGACTTAGGCCAAACTGAACCAAAAAGCAAGGTATGAGCCTTCTAAATTTACAGAACCTCAAACCTAACCTCGTTTTTTTTTTTTTACCTGAACTGCTAACATCTTTGACATTTTTTTTTTAAACAGACATATCTAGTGAGGCACTAGCAGGAACCCAAATGTCATGTTATAAACTACGCAAGGTAGCACTGTAAGATAGTCCTGAACTTCGAAACGTCACCGTCTCCGCCCGCCTCTCCTACGTGTCCCTTTGGAGAGCCGGGGGTCCCGAGCCAGCGCTTGGCCTCTGGCAGGTGGGAAAGGCCGAACGGCCGTATGAAGTGTAACGAAATCATGTTTTGTCTTTCAGGTTCAGTATTTCTTCAAGATCTTGGATAATTAGCAGCAGCGAAAAAAGAAAAGCAGTCACAGACCGGGGCGTTTAGACAAGAGCGAATCATGCACGTGAGGGATGTGTTCATTCTTTTATTGTCCATTGTTTTAACCTGACTGAATACAAGACCAGCAAGAGCGCTGTGCTCCTGGCAGCCGTTACACGTTAGAGCAGGGACTTCGCACTGCAGACACACTTACCACCGGTCTGTGGGGTACCGCGTTGCTTTTTATAAAGTCCAAAATAAAGATTTATTTTTCAAACAAGTGACTTTGGTTTATTTCATACATTACACTTTTTTCTTGCAGAAAAAAATAAAATTGTACAACTGCATAAATATAAAATTCTTCCACCATGAAAATGGTTAAAACATCCATGAAGACACAGCACCAGCATGTGATGCCTCCAAGAAAGGAAAAAGGAGAAAAAGAAAAGGTACAAAGCAAATCAACTCGCCTGATCACTGGCCGAAGTGACGGGCGACCCAGGTCACCTACAGCTTCAGAACGCACTGGAGGACAAGGTAAGAGGTGTCAAGACAGCATTCCATACACAGCACAGCACGACCGCTCACTTTTGTGTTTCTCTGTAGTGTCACTTAAAATGTAAAGGGCAAGTTCCCCCATGACAGCCCACCCTCCCAGCCCCAGGGGAAAAAAGAAAGAAAGAAAAAAAAAAGACCTAACACCACAGGAAGAGACTATGGAGTGTGTTAAAAATACTCATGAATGGGTCATTTATCTCTGAAAGAGCCACCCTCCCCCCAAAAAGTACCATGCCGGTTCGATTCCCGTTGCCTATTTACACCTTGGACAACAAACCTTGCTCACGGAAAGTAGAAAACATATGGTAAAACATGGCTTGAAAAATGACCAGAGTGCACCTAGAGTACTGTACACTAAGGAAGAGACACAGGCGGCGCTACCGAGGGGCCAGAAACACTGCTCACTACGTCGGTTATGGAATCATCATTTACAGTAGAAATGGGCACGTCCCGAGGCTCAATTCGTATTCTTCTTTTGTCATTTACAGTAGAATAAATATTTTGTTGGCTATTGCTACACTTTAAATTTACATTCTAACCTATGAAATGCGGAAAGCTAGTGTAAAGCATATAGATTAAGTGTAGGTCCCATACGTATGACAGTTTGTTCAAGACTAGTAGGTTTTTGTATCTTTAACTTCTTAAATGGCTAGTGGGAAAGATCTGTGCTCGCGATCAGCTCTTAACTTCGATCTTCACGTCGAAGCGGCCCTGGAAGCGGTCCTTCTCGCTGTACCCGATGTTCTCCCCGAAGGCCTTGCACTCGATGCGGACCTCGGTGTCCACGGTGAGGTTGGTGAACTGCACGGCCAGCAGCGGCTGCAGGTACTTGGGCTGCAGCAGCTTCCCATAGTAGGGGTAGTACTGCAGCGGGAAGCCGGCGTGGCCGCCCAGGCCGAAGTACTCCACGGTCCCGATCTTCTCCTTGTCCTCGTCACGCTACGAACGGAGCACGGGCGAGAGGTTAAGGGCCGCATCCCGACCCCGCCTGTCCCCACACGCGGGGACGCGGTCCCACAGCGCCGTCCGAGGTGCGTGCGGAGGGACAGCCGCTCCAGCCCGCCTCGCAGGGGGGTGCACCTCCAGCACTGGGGGACGCGGTCCCTGTCTGCGCGGAATGGCCCTAGACACGAAGGTCAAGCGAGATTGTCCCCAAGCCACCCTGCCTCCTAGAAACGGCCGGCCCAGAGAGGGACGCTGCGGTGGCGCCTTGGGTGCTGCTTCCAGCGACACGATCCCCAAAGCGTAACCATCAGCCTTGATTTACCTGAGGCCCTTTTCTTTCTGGCGGCAGCATGAGGGACTGTCTGGTGTTAGGTCCCCTTCCTTCCTAACAGCCCCCCGGGCACCTGTGTGCGGCCGGGCCCCCTCCCTTTCTCTGCCCTCCCTCGCACAGTCCCCCAGGCACCTGTTTCTAGAGCTAACGGGAGTGTGGAGTTCTTGTTACCCTCAATTTCACATCAATTTTGTTTTTGGTTTATCTTTGAAAAATACTGAAAGACTGTCAGTTAAAAAAAAAAACTTTGCCCTCAAAAATTTCTCTCACACGCTCTGGGCCAGAGAAGCGCCTGCGTGGGCAAACGAGCGCTCCCCGCAGTTCCGCAGAGCAGGGCGCCGGCAGTGCACTTCGGGGGTTCGGTCTCGCGTCCCAGCTCAAAAACTGCGTTTTTCTGGTTACATCTTTGTCCCTCCTTTACCCAGCAGAGCTACAACTCAGCGGACTCATTCCTGGCGGCAGTTCTCCCCGCTTCCCACATTCACATCCCGCCTCCCACCTCTCGCTCCGCCCCGCGGCTCCCCACCTTGCCGGTGCACTGAACGGGCAGGACGTAGGGGTTATACTTCAGCACCGCGGAGGTCTCCGAGGATTCGTTCTTGGGAGGCTAAAAACAGAGCCCACGTTGGTTAGTAAGTTTCATAAATCGCTTTAAATTTCCGAAAAATAAAACCATTTAGTAACCCAAACAAGTACACGCTGGTCGCAAGTTAACTGAAAGACACAATCAGCTGCGGACAGCAGAATGAAACAGTCCCTGCCCGCCCAGTCCTGGGCAAGGTCACGCTGTGATTTCGTCGAAATAAAAGTAAGTGGCCAAGTTTTGCGACCGCGACAATCAAGCCGTGATGCAGCCCAGTACTGAGTGGAACGTCGTTAGAAAGTCGGGAACCGTCGTAAGCGTTCCTCGAGGACCCCGCAAAGTTAAGGGCCACGCCGGAAACAACGCCTCGTTCGCTACGGTTATAAAAGACGGAAAAGGTGGTGGCTGTTTCTGCCCTCACGAAGCGGGGCTCGCCTCCCGCGCTGGGAGTGGGTCCCGCAGCCTTCTCACGGGGGCTCCCCTTACACTCAGTCTCCAGCGCGGTGACTGCCGGTTAAGGAGCTTTTCCAGCTCCGTAAGGCAAGTCCACTAGGCCAACAGATAAAGGTGGCATTAGACAAAGGGGTCAGTCCCTTGAAGGGACCCAGAGTACACTCTGAAAACTGCTGCCCACGTCGCCGGCTCGGACCTGCCTCAGAAGGAGGACGGCGGACAGCGTGAGCACGTGGGGATGGCCACGTCTCACTGCCGCACGTGCTGAGCCTGGCGCGAGGTGTTACACCCAAGTCACACGATGGACAGTTCTCTGTCGCTGAGGAGCTAATCGTTCCGGGACGACATTCTGGTCTGGGATGTCAGAACATGGTTATCTAGATTGGACTCTCTCAGAACTTTCTGCCAGCAATCCACGTATCTTTAAAATACGAGGAGAAATGCGTATCGATAAAGAAGTTGGCAGAATCTGTCCTCGGAGGATGAGGAAACGGGCACATTAAGTAAGACGGTGGGGTAACTGGAGTCTGACAAAAATAATCCCAACGACGAAATCGTTGGGGACCTGGGGTGGGGCGATGAGTTAGGAAGCAGCAAGGGGTAAGCAAGTGGGGGCCGAATCAAAGGGAAGAAGGACGGAAGGGAGAGTAGCCAAACTCATCACCCGACAGTGTCTCCACAGAGGTGGGGAGAGACACAAACCAAAAAAGACCAGAACCTGCGTCCGGGCCGCCGGCGCCACTCAGCCCTCCCAGGGCGGAAGGACGGAAGTGAGGGGCCTGAGCACACCGGTGAGGCCGAGAGTTCCCGGCAACGTGCGTATCAGCTCTACGTGTGACACAGCAGTTGTCCCTCTCCTTCCGTCACAGACCAGCCGAAGTGGAAAGGTGACTAGCATTCTGCTTGGAGGCACGCCCGCTGCCGCAGGAGACCTGTCGGCCCCGCAGCCGTCCAACCGCCTGCTCACGCGTCCGTCCAACCGCCTGCTCACGCGTCCGTCCAACCGCCTGCTCACGCGTCCGTCCAACCGCCTGCTCACGCGTCCGTCCAACCGCCTGCTCACGCGTCCGTGCCTCTGCCTCTGCTGGCGGTCGAGGCATTTCCGACGCACCCTTAAGTTAGATGTTGCACCTGTACTCAGATTTTCTGCGTCCGTGCCTCTGCTGGCGGTCGAGGCATTTCCGACGCGCCCTTAAGTTAGATGTTGCACCTGTACTCAGATTTTGCCTCTGCCTCTGCTGGCGGTCGAGGCATTTCCGACGCACCCTTAAGTTAGATGTTGCACCTGTACTCAGATTTTCTTTTGAAAATATTACTCATGGGTAACAAGCGAGCCAGATTCTGGAAGTGAGTTCTGTTCCTACAGATCCGTACACTGCAGTCAATCCCTACCGGAACGAACACTACGTACACTCACAATAGCAATGCCCACACGGCTGGAAGAATCCACGCTTCAGGGCAAAGGACGGCGGTGTCCGCTCACGATCGCAAGGAGAAAAATGAAATAACTCGTTTCATAAAAGACACCGCCAATGAATCTCCCTTTCTCGAAAAGAATTGCTAGGATCTTAGCACGCGTGAGCCACAGTGAGGCCGAAAGCCGGCAGCGGGGTCATCAGGGGTCAGCCTGGCATGGTATCCGCCTTCTAATGTTGCAGTGAAATCTTCATTCAGAAAAAAAAAAATTTGCTTCATCAGACTAGCAGATAATTTTTTAAAAGCACTCTGGCTCCAAGAGCATCAAAACCAGAGCATGCGGACACACGGGTAGCTTTAAAGCTTAAAAATATCTTTTCCCATATTTACTTTTAGAGAGTTGACATTCTAAAAACTACTCTGGACACTGAGTAGCACGGAGCGCAGGGTCACAGGCTGACTCCGGGATCTGGCCTGGCCACTCCATTTCCCTAAGTTCAGAAAACGAGAGTGACGAGCTATGGGAATGTCGCGGTGGGTACGGAAGGTTTCAGTTTTACTCTACCGACTGGGCTTCAGAGGTGTCAACGCGAAACGTGACAGCTCCCTCGTACTCTCGTCCCACAGTGCCGATGGCTCATCTAAAGTCTACGCGTGACAGAACCACTTGCCTTCGGTTTGAAGCCCAGAACTCGGTTGAGCTTTATGATGACGCACGGTTTGCCGTCCTTGTAGCCGTAGGAGTCATCGTTTATCCCGGAGCAGTTTCCCAGCCACTCGAGCTTGAACCTGCAGACCTTCCGCTCGCCGGGGTCACTGTCGTAGGGTCCTCGTTCTTTGTATTCGCTGGGCACACCTAGAAATGCAAACACCGTGTTTACACCGCACTGAGGGAAGGCGCTTTCTCCCCTGTCACCACGACCCGGTCTGAGGCCACGCTGTTCCGCGCTTAGCGCATCGTCTCGAGACACCGAGGACTTCCCGCGGTTAAACCAGCTCCCGTCTCCCTGCTGACGTTAAAAAGGCGTTTTCCCCAAAGCGATCACTGGCACGTAAGCCCACACCAAAGCTTCGTGGCCCTTGGTAATGAGCACGTGGCCTGTGGTCTCTGGCGATACTTCTCTTCCTTAAATAATGGACGGCTCCGCTGTGCAGGACACTCAGAGGAAACTGGATCGCCCTTCGCGAGAAGCATCGTTTGCACAGGCCGACGCCAGCTCGGTAGCAGGGTCGCCGTAATCAGAACACGAATTCGAAGGACTGTCACTAATTTTCGGAACTGGCAGTTTTGGGGTCAGATTGTCCTGGAGCTATGCCCCCACCTGGCAGGTTGAACAGTAACGAGGGGAAAAATTGGGAATTGGGTTCTTTCCTTTCCAACCACCATTCGAGTGTTTTTGTTTGTTTGTTTAGTTCTTATGGATTTGAGTTCTTGCCTTGGAGAGCTGTGAGTTCTTAAAAGCATTTGTTCAGCTGAGAAACTCTACTGGAACATTTCTGACTGACCTTCATTACCAACCCAGGGAAAGAATAAAATATAGAATCCAAAGTTAATACAAAGCCTCCTGCAGCAAACTGATGCGAATATCACAATTCGTATGTATTTTCTAAGTTCACAAATTAACTATTTTCCCTTCAAATGACAAAGTGCCTCGATTCAGTCCGTCCCCTATGAAGTGATTCCCTCTAACTCTGTATCACGCAGGCCTTTTCATCACGGCAAAGATGAAAACTTCCTTTAAATTCTAACGCGAGAAACTTAGTGAATATGAACCTTTTAAATTAGTAAATCTCTTCAAAATGACTTAAAATGGCAATTCACCCGCCATTAGGACTAAACAAATAGTCTGCCATACCAAGATCGAAGATTGGTAAATGCTAGAATCAAGTCAGAGGGCTGCTACCACCTAGCAACTCAGAGACCGATCTGGTTCCGGCGGGTAGGACAACGCGGCCCAGAAAGTCACACTCCAGGCGGCGAGGAGGACGGTGTGCTATACTCACGTCACCGGCTTAACGAAACATTCTCTACCATTTGTCAGTCATTTCCTTATCCAGAAGCTCAGCTGCCTGAGACCTGTTTCATTGCCCACGCCAGACCAAGGTCTGTAACACACACCCTGACCCTCAGCCCTCCTCTGTCCCCAGCTGTGCGGCTACAGAGCCCCGCGTCACGGGGCGTCCTGCTGAGCAGGCCCTGGGCGCTCTTCTGTGGGGGGGGCCGGCGGGCAGAGAGGCGGAAGCAGCAGCGACTGGGTGTAAGGAAACCAGACCAGAGTCGTGAGCTGAGTCTCGGTAAGAAAAAGCTGATGTGTCTCGCTTTTTTGTTTTTTTGGTTTTTGGTGTTTTTTTTAAAGCAAGACACCTTTCAAATGCAGATCGCAGCAACGCTGGAGATGACATCGTTTCTCTCATCGCATCCGAGGCTGAACCGTAAGAAGCCTTCTTGCTTTAAAAAAACAAAAAGCGGCCTCTCGACATGGCTAGAGTCTGATCTTTCAATCACTTCAGGACTGTCGTTCAATGACTAAATAACGAGAAACAAGAACCGACCACAGACGTCCGAGTCGCGTCTACTCACTGCCGCAGTCTTCAAAGATCATGTCGTCCCTCTGGGCGGCGTCTTTGTACTTCTCCAGGAACCTAACTATGTTCGTCACGTACGGTTGGTAGGTCTTGGATTCCTGAGGACGGAAGGAGATTTCAGTCTTCTGGATCTGGGGAATCTGCGTCAACCCTGGGCAGGAGGGGAGGCGGAAAAACAGAACCGTGAGCGGGAAGGAAGCAGCGAGACGACCCCAAGGCCGGCCCCCCGCGTACAGCACGGACTCTGCCGACCGCGCCGGGCCGGGCGGAGTGGGTGCAGCCCGCCCCTCTTCCGGAATCCGTTCCCTGGCACTTAGACCAAGTGCCCGTGACAATGTCTTAACGTCACAGACCATTTAATTTTCCCAGCAACATTTCACGACAAGGCGTCATCTCCACTTTGTGAATGAAACACTTCTTGCCCAGAAAGGCTGGGTGCCCAGCCCAAGGTCACAGCGGGGGCGGTGGGACCAGAATTCCAACCCGGCTCTGCTGTGACCCGAAGCCCGCCATCCTCCCGGCACGCCCTCGTGCTCACACTCAGAAAACGCACTCCCTGCTAGCTCGCCACGTGCACGGGGCGTCCCTTCCCCAGCTGCTAAGCCCGTTCTGTGGACGGCTGCGTGCCGCTCCGGACCCCGCAAGGCTCAGCACCACCCGGCGGAGCTCTGCGCGGGGTCTGCTAGCCGCAGATGGACCACGTGACCTAACCTGGAGGATTCGGGGGGGGCGTGTGCAGGTACCCACTTCCCATTCCTAAAGTAAACGGTTATTCTGAGCAAGTCCGGCGCCAGCCGGGGTAAAAGTCAAAGGTCGTGTACCCCGAGTCTCCTCTCTTTAACCAGTTTTTCAAGTTCGTCCATCGGCAGACGACCCTGCCTGGCAGCTGTAAACAACAGTGCACGGCCCTGGCCAGTGGCAGCGGGCGGAGGGGCCGGCACAAGATTTCCAGGACTGCCAGATAAAACAGAAGATGCCCAGCAAATCTGAATCTCAGACAAACCACACATACTTGTTATACAGGTATGTCCTATGGGACAGGTATGGGAACACACGGGTAGAAAAAATTATTCGTGGTTTATCTGAAGTTCAGATTTAACTGGACAGCCTTTGCTCATCCGGCAACCCCGTTCTAACCCCCACTCCCAGACCGGCCCTCTCCGTGCCGGGCACAGACGGTGGCTCGCGTCACGGCCCTCCAGAGACCCGTGGAGGTATGAAGACGGCGACGTGATTGCAGGGGGAGACGAGGGACCATTCAGCAGCCCCGTTTCTGAGGCTCGAGAACAGGCGTCATGGGGCCGGGCTCAGCGGCTGGTACTTTTTCTAGGGACTGAGGGTGGCTTCGAGCTTCGAAAGTGGCAAAGGGATGAGGTGCCCAGCTCGGGGGGCGGGGCGGGCCCCTCCACGCTTGCCGTTCCTGAGAAGAACGGGCAGGATGGAGACAAGGATCGCGGGGGCCTGGAGCCAGGCTGGGGGGCTGCCCGGGACCAGAGGGGGCGGGCACCGGGCCTCATCTCAGCGAGGACGACGCAGGACCTGAGGAACTCGGGCAGAACAGCCATTGGCCGTGACGGAGAGAAGTCAAAGGAAACCAGTGGTATTTGCTCATAAAAACATATTTGGTTAGAAATAAACAAAGGTTACTACAAACATGTTTTTAAATGCTCCTAAACCATAGGTTACTCACTTTATGGCCAAAGGAATTTAAATACACCCTGAACAATCTTTTTCTACATTAAGTTAGCAAAACCAGCGCCGTGATCACATCATTCAGAGAGGCACTGTAATAAAAACGCGAGCTACCTGCAGAAATAAAGCGAAGCCAGCCAGGCGAGTAGCCGCTCCCACTGGGATGTCAAGCCAGGTGAGGCCACGCCCCGCCGGGCTGGGGAGCCCCACTGCACGGTCGTGACCAGTTCGAGTTGTAAGAACACACGTAAGTCAAGGCGACCTGCCTGGACCAGGGGGAAACGCAACAGAACTCGGCAGGATGGGGCGTTCTGGATAGTGCCGGAGTCGGGAGCAAACGGAGCCCCGAAGGACAGTCACAGGAGGGTTCCCTGGGAGGGCCAGGGCACGGGCACCAGGGAACTCAGAGGCACGTGCCTTCGCGCCCGGCGGGCAGGAGGCCTGCGAACACCTGCTCTCAGGTACTTGGTGCGGTGGGGGCGGGGCTGGGGCGGGCAGGGATGGAGGACACCTGTGCGCACAGGGTTCAGCTGTGTCCTCGAGCGCGGGATGGAGGAGGTGGGAGAGGGGAGGGCAGATGGAAGGGTGAAGGGATGACAGCAGCTGTCAGAGACCGGGGCGGAAGAGCCAGCTGGCTGACCAGAGGGACAGCAGTGCGGCTGACTCGGCAAAAACCAAGCTGCTGACGAAATGTCGACGAGCCAGCTGTGAGACCGGGAGAGGCCCACCCTGCACGTCAGGAAGAGGAGTGGACCGAGGGTCCCGTCGGGAGTAAACGTGGTGGGACCTGAACTGCATGGCGAGTGTCACACAGGCCAGTGTCCCCTCTGGCCGGTGTCAGCTCTCGGCCGGCAGCTTGCCTCTGGCTCTGGGGCTGGTCCTGCCCTCTCCCAGCGGCTGCGCAAGGCTCCATCTCCCGGGTGTGTGGACAAAGTGCCGTAGGTACCGCTCTGGCCCTCCCCCCACGAGAGAGGGCAGGGGACACGCCTGCCGGCCCCGGGCCAGGCCGGGATCCGCACTAACAAAGGCCCGGGGGCTCAGGGCGCTCGGAAGCCCAAAGGGGCGGCCGGAGCGAAGCACTCACGCCGCCCGATGCCAGCTACGCGGAGAGCAGGGGCTGCCGTCCGCACGTGCACGAGGGGCCCACGGGCCCAGAAAAGACGCACGTGTCTCCCCAGACAGGGCAAAGGGAAACGGGAACTGACCCACGTCCACACGAGTCCACGGGCTCGGCCGTCGGGCCCCCACGGGGCCACGTGGGAAGCTGCAGCCGAAGATGCTCCCCGCATCACGACTGCTCTGCACCGAGAAGCATCAGAGGCTGAGGCCGAGGCTGCAGGGGGCGAGTGGACGTCCAGGCACTGGGTCCTGGGGTCCTGTGACCTGCCCGGCCCTCCGCGGACAGAGCCGTGGTACGGAGGCGGGCCAGGCGCCAGAGCCCAGCCCCGAAGCTCCGCCAGGCTAAGGCTCCCCCGGGTCTGAGGGGTCTCAGTGCGTGTAGCTGACGCAGCCGGAGTGAGCAGCCTTCCAGGGGAGCCAACTTCTGTCTGGACGTTTCCAGAAAAGCAGCATAAGCGGTCCGGGTGTCGCTCACGCCATCGGCCCCTGGGCCAAGCCCTCGCCCACGCAGCACGCCCGCGGCCAGGGCGGCCTCTGCCTCTTTGGTGCCCTGCACCCACGGCCTCTGCCTCAGTTCCTCTTCCCAGAGGCCAGCGCAGGTCACTCCCTGGCCTGTTCTGGTCGGGACGATCTTCGTTAGGAGAATTCTCTGATGCGATCCCCAAACCATCAGAAAACGAATTCCTCGTCTCGAAAATAATTTCTTTAAAGCAATCACACACTTACAAGAGGCAGATGAAGGACTCTCGACCTGCTCTCTAAACGCTTTAAGTCATTGACTTGCCATCATCAGACCGGTGGGAGGAAGAGGAAGCAGAGGGATGGGCTTGGAGCGGGCGACCCCGCACACACGTCCCTCCCTCCCCGGGGGCGCCCTCCA